CGGGCTTGTGGAGCAGACACTTAGCAAGTTTGTTTTCTTAGGGGCATGAAGTTGTGAGGGTTTTGCCCAGGAAGCAGCTCTCGCTGTGAATGAAGCAATCCCGGGTTGTTTGAATTGCAAACGGCGTCGCTGCCTGTCCAGCTTCACCCTGGGCTTTCCCTTGCTGATGTTGGCCTGGAAACAGAACAACGCTTCCTATTGATTTCTCTGGGAAATTGGCTGTACCAGCTCCACCAACATAAACCAGACAACTGGGCCCAGTCTAGCTGGGAGCCCTGTGCAGGTGAGACCTTGCACCCAGGGCTCAGCACTGTAGGGCTTCATACGCTCTTGGCTTGAGCTGCAGCTTTCATTTTAAAATGCTGCTGGAAGAGGTACTTGGCTTTTCATCATAGAAGGTGGTTAGTAAATAAAATCAAACACAGAGATAAATTAAAAATGTCTTCAAAATGGTGTCTTCATACCCTTGCCTCCACTCAGCCAAAATCCTTCCTTTTTAATTTCACCGCTGTTTATAGTTCAGGGGTTTTTTTCAGTCTTGTGGCGACTTTTTTATTTTCCAATGAAAGGTGTAAGATATAACTCACAATTTATAAAGAATTCACACACCTGCATTGTTACAAGATGAGTTCTTGCAGATAATTTAAGCACCAGTTTTAAATTCCAGGATAAAACATATTTATTACCTGGCAATGACCCTGGGGACTAGGAAAATCCAAGTTTGTTGATCTGCAGTTTACAATCTTGCTGTCATTTTTGTTTTGTTTCCCAAGGATTTTGCAGGCTTACTGAAGTCTCCTGTATGGAAATAGTTTTCTCTGGAATTTCACTTTCACCCTTTCTTTTCCCAGTCTCTTCCAGAAAACCACCTCCACCTATAGCCACGGAGTGGCAAACCTCACCTTTAGCTATTCACCTCCACCGCTGTTTACTTCAGAACTCATCTGGGATCTTTGACATGCTAATGCTCAGCACAGCAATGCAATAACTATTCAGGCAGAGCTGAATACTTGTTTCACCTGCCTGCATACCAATTTAGCCTCAAAAATCCCGGATTCCTTCACCTAGCCTGTGTGTAGTTCAGCCCATCACTGGCAGTACCACTTTGAAGAGGGCTTTTGTACCTGCTGCATGGTTTATATGTTATATTGTGCCTTGGGAATCCTTTCGCGGAGTCAGGTTCCAGGACAAGCTTTGTCTTGTCCTGTAAAACAACCAGAAAGTACTAGTGAAGACTCAAGTGGTAATGGGGATTCAGTTTGCGAGGCCGTGCCAGCTCTGCTGGGGTAATGGTTCCGATTTAGCAAGTTGTAGCAGAGAGCTGTTGCCCTGACAGTCGGACACGGCCGTGTGACAGACGCGAGCTGGCTCTTTGTCCAGCTCCTCATGCCCACCTTGCAGGTCTTTGCTCTTTGTCCTCATGCTCACCTTGCACGTCACCGCTGATGCCAGTCATTCCCTTGGCCAATAGTCCTCGCGGAGACAAGCGGTGAAAAGAGGTTAGAAATGGAAGTGTCTCCCGGGGAGATGTGTGTGGAGGTTTGTGCTGAGCTGTGCTGGCAAAGTCTGGAGGAAGAGAGAACCTCTGAGCCTCCGTGGACATAAAAGAGCACGTGCCACGGCACGGGACTGTGCCACAGCCTGTACTCCAAAACAAGGCTTTATCAGAAAGCCCTGGGGACTGCCTCTGTCCCTCCTCCTTATTCCCCAGTCACCCCACTCTATGGGCGGTTTTGGGATGGAGCTGCCTCTTCATGGCAGGGGCTGGCTAGCAGCTCCTTTCTCTATGAAGCCATCAGGTGCAGGGCTAACACCCTCTACTACCCACGAGCCAGTTCTACTCAACACCGGCGGCTCTCTTGGGTCAATGAAGCGTTGCCAAAGTCAGTATGACGGGTGTGCCTGCAACAGCAAGACAGGTGAACTTTTTGTCTGGCATCTGCTTTATTTTTCCTGTTCTTGATACCCAGAAGATGTCCGTGTCCCTTTGAAGCAGAGACACTCCCACTTCAGTGCTTGTTGCTCTTCTCTTCAACTCTGCACGCTTAGGGAGGAAAAAAATCTGCCAGGGTTGTTATCTCAGGAGTGTCTGAGATAGCAAATTTGGCTGCAGGACCTGCAAGAACATCCCAGCTGTCACTGACTCAGGAGCTGAGCTTTGAGCTTACAGACTGGCCCCTGAGGGCTGTCGGGGCCCCTTGCCGGGTGTGTATGGACAGATGCTGTTAGTGGGGCTCCTCACCACTTCTTTGTGGCTGGGCCAAGAGTATTGAAGGTGTCAAGATAGAGATTGTGAGGGAAGTCCTCGGTGAAGCCTGAGACTGCGCAGAGGGCTCACACAAAAGAGATCACAGAAGGCTGCAGGAAGCGCACGGCCTCCGAAGCGGCAGCTCTGCTCCCTCGGGGACGGCAGCGACAGAGGGAACAGCACGTACGAGGTTGGTGGGCTTCTGCCAAACCACAGAGACACGGGCTGTGGCCACACCAGGGTGCTGATCCTGCCTCCCACTGCATCGCCATTCATAACGTGGGATCTGTTTAAATCAGTTTCCCTCTGAACAAAAGAGCCAGATTAGTTCTTACACTTGAAAGAAGCGGGCTGGGGCTGTTTCCTACATGAGTGTCGAGAGGCAAATCCGTGGAGTAAAATAAAATCCAGGAAAATAATAGTAATGGTGATTCATTTGTCTCTGACATTTTAGCATCCAACGGTGCTCCAGTGACCTGTTGCCATGTTACTGTTACCCTCCAGTTCTTGAATGGATTCCACAAGCTGGAAGCCTTGGGCCGTGTTTACCTTGCTAATTGTTTGACTGCCGCGCTCCTTTACGGACTCCAGTTTATAAATATGCACGTTATCACCTACAGATTCATCATCCTCAGAGCCCCAAGAACTGCAGAGTTAGGCAATGCCTGCTCAGATGGTTACTTTACAAGGCCAGCACATTCAGTCAGTATTTAATGGTAGGGTGTACACTGCCATGTATTTTAGAACAGGGCTGGAAGACGGGTCTGTATCTCTGCCTGGGAACTGGGCTCATCCTACTCCTACCGCCAGCAGGATTTAACCATGTTTGATACAACAGAGCTGAGCACACTTGTCCTTGGCTCCACTTGCAGCTAAGTTGTGTTCGGAGTAAGTTCAGCTGCATCAGTTCAACAACAACAGAATAAACCACTGGACCTTGGCAAAGGCTTTGCTGCTTTGGAGAGCCATGAATCTCCATGTAATGCAAAATCCACAGTATTCACAGGGATTCACTACCTGTCTCAGAGGAACCTTTTCCGGAACAATTTATTCATCAGAATCTGAAATAATGGTTTCTCTGTCCATGTCTGACTTGATAAACCACATTTTCCCTTGGATCAGCCTGTAAAAAGTACTTCCATGAGCACAAAAGCAGATCCTTTTCTAACAAAATGTATCCACTGCAAAAAGTTAATTCTTCTTTCACTGAAGTGCTGTAAAGGCTTCTGTTGGCACATGTTTTAGAGCCAGGAAAACAACATGTGTAAAAACTCTGATGTAAATCCATTGCTTTGGGGGGAAAAGTGTTTTTCCACTATAGTTTACCATCATTTACATGATTATAACAGGCTCTGTATGAGGGAAGCTACACTCATCCCAAAATAATAAATAAACCAAACCAGTGTAGGCAAGTTCAGGATCCAGCCAGTGCTGAGAAAGATGGAGCAGCCTGACCCGGGGGGCTGCGTACTGGCAGCTTGGAGTTCTCCTCAAAACCCCGTCGTTCCTTTCAGTGCAGCCTCAGGTGGACGCTGAGGTTTGAGTCACAGAAGCGATGCGCTTGCCAGCAAGTGCCTTCGTGAAAATCCATCCTTCCTTTGTGCCGGCAAAAAATGCTTGGAGTTTAGGGAGTGCAAAAGTGGTAGGTGGGAGGGCAGGGGGCAGCTTTACCCCCAAACGCTGATCTTTTTGTCTGAAAGAAGCAAAGGGAGCCTTGATGTACACCCCATGGAATTAGACATACCAAGCCATGGTTTCCCTTCAGCATCCCAGTCATCCTGAAGCATTCTGCTCCTGGGATGTCCCCCTTGACAACAGCTTCGTTCAATACAAGTGAGAAGATGCTCCTCCTGGCTGGCTGACCCGAAGCACTGCTAGTCAGTGAGGGTGTTTCCATTTATGCCATGTCCATAGAAATAATTTCGATCCAATTATTCCCATGTATTTTTGCTCTGTTTTAACTTTGGGTCCCCAGAAAACTTTCCCTTCCACAGGATTTAATTTCCAACTGTTTAAAAAAAACAAAACAAGCCCAATAGCAATTTCTTTTACTTTGTTTGCTTCGGGAAGGTTTGAATTTTTTTTTTTTTTTTTTCCAGTTTCTGTCCTGGATTATTTAGTACTGCTGGATGCTACAAAACTGGCGTGAAGTTCAACCTCTGATCTGTTTTGATGGTGAACACAGTATAAAGATGTGATGAAAAGCTAAGTAGTTACTAAATTTTATTTATCTTCATATTCTCTGCTGGTTTTAAGATCCATCAGTGCAGGCTTTCTTTGGTGGTTTCATCGGGTTTTTACTTTTTTCCAAGTTCCTTCGACCTAAACTGAACTGCTGTAGTCCTGTGAGTAATGTGTTTGCTAATCCATAGTATTTTGCCATTTTCTTACATCAGGAAATGTCACGTTGCGTGATAACTGTCCGCAGGCTGCGTGCTGTCATGATTTTTGTGAAATCTTTTCTTTTTTGCTCAGCGCGCTGCTCCCTGGGGATTTTTCCCCGTGTGGCAATACCGCCGCCGGTGTCCCCGCGGGCTGTAGCAATACCTGAGCCCTTGTGGTGGAGGGCTGGGGGACACACGACCCGGCGGGAACCGAAACTTTCTGGGGAATTTGTCATCGCTCCTCCTTTGGCAAAGTGGCCCTGAAAACACACCCGTGGCGAGCAAATAGCCCGTCGGTTCGGCCACCGGGGC